TAGTCTGCGTCATAGATACCGTAATTAGTGTTGTAATGTTGTAATTGCCATCGTTTATTATATTTAGTTTTACCAGTATCATATCATTTATGTTTATTTTGCAGGTGATATGTTATTATTTGTTAATGCTCTCAAATTTCTTGTGTTGTCATTTTGCTAGTAATATTAAATGGTGCTTTGCTTTTCTGATGCTTTGTTTTGTTCTTTTGTTAGAACTTTACTTTTACTAGTACTGGTACTTTGTGTTTTTAGTGTTTGCTCTTTTGCAGAAACTTTGTTTTACTAGTGCTTCAATTTGCTGCTGCTTTGTCTTTTTGATATATTTCTTTTTTGGTACTTTGCTTTGCTTTTTTGATAGGACTTTTCTTTTACTGATGCTCAATTTGCTGCTATTTCACTATTTTAGTGCTTTGCTCTTTTGCTGGAACTTGCTGGTATTGCATTATATTGTTGGTTGTCTAGATAAATATCTTTTTTTTGCCTATATTCTTCATTTTACTAACCAGTTTTTTTTTTATAATAATATTATGTGGGAATTTGCTTTGTTTTTTTGCTAGAATTTCACTTTTACTAGTGCTGGTGCTTTGCTTTTCTGGATGTTTGCTCTTTTGCTAGGATTTTACTTTATTGATACTTTGATTTGCTACTGTTTTGTCTTTCTGATTTTTGTTTTTTGGTGCTTTGCTTTGCTCTTTTGCTAGAACTTTATTTTTACTAGTGTTCAATTTGCTGCTACTTTACTATTTTAGTATTTTGCTTTTTTGTTAGAACTTGCTAATATTGCATCATGTTGTTTGCTATCTAAATAAGTATCATTTTTTTTTGCCTATGTTCTTTATTTTATTAACCAGTTTTTTTTCATAGTATTTATGTTGTGTTGTTGAATATTTCTAGTTTTCTTGTGTTGTCATTTCACTAGTGATATTAAGTAGTGATTTGCTTTGTTCTTTTGCTAGAATTTTGCTTTTACTGGTGCTTTGCTTTTCTGATGCTTTGTTTTGTTCTTTTGTTAGAACTTTACTTTTACTAGTACTGGTACTTTGTGTTTTTAGTGTTTGCTCTTTTGCAGAAACTTTGTTTTACTAGTGCTTCAATTTGCTGCTGCTTTGTCTTTTTGATATATTTCTTTTTTGGTACTTTGCTTTGCTTTTTTGATAGGACTTTTCTTTTACTGATGCTCAATTTGCTGCTATTTCACTATTTTAGTGCTTTGCTCTTTTGCTGGAACTTGCTGGTATTGCATTATATTGTTGGTTGTCTAGATAAATATCTTTTTTTTGCCTATATTCTTCATTTTACTAACCAGTTTTTTTTTTATAATAATATTATGTGGGAATTTGCTTTGTTTTTTTGCTAGAATTTCACTTTTACTAGTGCTGGTGCTTTGCTTTTCTGGATGTTTGCTCTTTTGCTAGGATTTTACTTTATTGATACTTTGATTTGCTACTGTTTTGTCTTTCTGATTTTTGTTTTTTGGTGCTTTGCTTTGCTCTTTTGCTAGAACTTTATTTTTACTAGTGTTCAATTTGCTGCTACTTTACTATTTTAGTATTTTGCTTTTTTGTTAGAACTTGCTAATATTGCATCATGTTGTTTGCTATCTAAATAAGTATCATTTTTTTTTGCCTATGTTCTTTATTTTATTAACCAGTTTTTTTTCATAGTATTTATGTTGTGTTGTTGAATATTTCTAGTTTTCTTGTGTTGTCATTTCACTAGTGATATTAAGTAGTGATTTGCTTTGTTCTTTTGCTAGAATTTTGCTTTTACTGGTGCTTTGCTTTTCTGATATTTGCTTTTTTACTAGTGCTGGTACTTTGCTTTTCTGACG